TGTGTGATCTTAGATTTTCTTTTGCCATTTATCATTGTTGGGAGCATCAGCGAAAATTTGAATAAGGTCTGTAGATTAGCTAATAGTATTGTATCGATGTTGTTATAATTTCCTCGTGGTGATCATGGTGCTATGGTTATGTAAGAAAATGACCTCGTTTCCAGAAAACACAAAGAGATTCACTGGGAGGGCTAGGGGCCGGGAAGAGGGCGCACAGGCCCTGGGGGGAGGACAGAGACCCTGGGAGAGGGGGACCGAGATCCAGAAAGAGAGGGGGACAGAGACTCAGAGAGAAAGGGACCGAGACCCAGAAGGAGAGGACAGAGATCCAGAAAGAGGGGGACAGAGACCCAGAAAGTGATCCAAAGAGGGGGACAGAGACCCAAAGAGAGGGACAGCGACTTGGGAAGGTGGACAGAGACCCACAGAGGAGGGGAGAGAGACACCTAGAGAGCGAGGGACACACACGGGGAGGTGGGGGGCGGAGGAGACGGGGGTGTGTGTGGGGGTAACAGAATCCGGGGCAGTGGGGCTGAGGGGTACGGGACCAAGGGTGTGCCTGCGGTGTTGTTCAGGCTTTGGGGTCAGAATCTCGGGGTTCCAGGTCTACCACTCAGTGGCTCCGTGACCTGAGAGAAGTCGCGGAGTCTCCCCGAGGCTCAGTTTCTTCGCCTGCAAAGCGAGGAAAGGTAGGTTCCCCTTCCTAGGAGATCGCAGCTGTCCAGCGCTCGGGCGGGCTCCTGGCAAACAGCAGGCGCCCAGTGCTTGCGCGCTGAGTAGTCTGGGCCGCGCAGATGCTGGGGGTGAGGGGGTCTGGGGCTGGCTCGCGAATGACAGGAGGGGGCGGGGCGTCACCCACAGCCCTTCCCCCACCCAAGGCCCGACTCGGGCCCGCCCCCTGAGCGCCCGCCAGCCAGCCTAGCCCAGCTCGCACCCACCCGCTCCGGTCGGCTCCGCTGGGTCCGGACTCACCTGTGCGCCCGGGAGGGTTCCGCTGGGCAGTCAGGCCTTCCCTCCCTCCCGCAGGCCGCGGAATGCGCCTGCGCGGGCGCTGTCTGGACACTATCAGTCCCGGTACTTTAAACTCGGCATCGCGGATGGACTATATTTCCCAGAAACCTTTGAGGCTCGCGTTCCTCCTGGCCCACGGTCTCTGAGTGTGGGGGATGCTGGGAAATGGAGTCTAGGCGTACAGCGTGGGGCGGGAGAAAGACTATTTGGATAGACAGCTGTTTTTCAGCTGGAGGAAACCTGGTAATTGAGACATGTCTGGCTGTACTGGCTCCGCGGATATCCTCATTTCAGGCAGAGTTCTTTTCACCGTCCTTAACAGGAGGCGATGCCATAGTCCATTTAATCCAAATTTCTCCTACCATAGCTGAAGTCTTCAGGACAGATAAAAGTTGGCCCTATCTAAACCAATGGTGAATGAAACGATCATCTGTCATTTAATTATTCAATTTCCCTGGGCATCTCCCTTTCTGTTTGCCTCAGTTTCACCCATCACCTCTTAAAGGGCAGTGTGGTAAAGGAAATAGAGTCCTGTGCTGGGAGCTAGGAAATGTATGTTCAGGAATGCAAGGATGGTTTAATATTAGGATATAAAACTTATTGATATATCAAAATAATGCAATCATATCCATAGATACTGAAAAGGCTTTTAATAACATTCACAACCAGTCATTTCTAGATAAGCTTCACAAATTAAGAATAGGCCAATATTGAACAATAATAACAATTCTAAAGAGTTACTGGCCTCTTATTGCGTTTAATTATATATGTATAATCAAAATTTAACATCAGCCTTAATGGTAAAACACTAAAAGCATTCCCGTTAAAGTCAAAGACGAAATGTCCACTCTCACTACCTTTTTTTTTTCAGCAAATTATAGGGGTACAGATGTTTAGGTTACATATGTTGCCCTTTCCCCCTCTCCCCCTCCAAGTCCGAGATTCAAGCCTGTCCATCCCCTGGATGGTGCGCATCGCACTCTTTGTGTATGCATATACCTGTCCCCTCCTTCCCCCTCCCCCTCCCCCTGCCCGACATCCAATAAATGTTATTCTTATATGTGCACTTACGTGTTGATCAGTTAATACCAATTTGATGGTGAGTACATGTGGTGCTTGTTTTTCCATTCTTGGGATACTTCACTTAGTAGAATGGGTTCCAGCTCTTTCCAGGAGAATACAAGAGGTGCTATATCACCATTGTTTCTTAAAGCTGAGTAGTACTCCATGGTATACATATACCACATTTTAGTAATCCACTCATGTATCGATGGACACTTGGGTTGTTTCCACATCTTTGCAATTGTGAATTGTGCTGCTATAAACATTCGGGTGCAGGTGTCTTTTTCATAGAGTGTCTTTTGTTCTTTTGGGTAGATGCCCAGTAATGGGATTGCTGGATCAAATGGTAATTCTACTTGTATCTCTTTAAGATATCTCCATATTGCTTTCCACAGGGGTTGCACTAGTTTGCAGTCCCACCAGCAGTGTATGAGTGTTCCTATCTCTCTGCATCCATGCCAACATTTATTGTTTTGGGACTTTTTGATAAAGGCCAGTCTCACTGGAGATAAGTGATATCTCAATGCACTCTCACTACTTTTGGAAGAACTAAAAATGTAGTTAGACAAGAGAAAGAAACAAAAGACATCATTGAAATAGAGAAGTCTGGGCTCTCATTCTTCTTTTCACATGATATGATTAAGATCATGAAAATCAGAGAATTGACCGAAACACTAAAATAAACAACAAGGTAATTCCGTAAAACTACTGGGTACAAAATTAATTAAAACTAATAGGTTTCCTCCCTTTAAACAAAAATCACAAGAATGTAATAAAAAAACTTTCTCTGATTTCCACCAAACCCATCTGGAGTTGGCAACTCTCTCCCTGGGTTCCCACAGGATCATCCCAGTATCTGAGCCCTGATATTATAATCATCGCTGTGTTGTATTTCTCCAGACTGCGCTTTCCAGCAGCTCTCAGCACACCATAGTTTATGCACAATTTAATTTTCTGTTTATTGTGCACTTGCCCAGGGGATTCCCATGAAGTTAAAAGAATGTCTGGACCTGCTGCGTGAAGACATTTTAAAAAAATCCATAACAAAAGCATTTTGGGGCCACTAGTTTGCGACCCCCAAGCCTGAGCCTTTTCCAGTTTGGCTGCGCTTTGGCTACCAGTGTAAAAGGTGCGCGTTAAGTCAAGCATTTTGACGCGGCTTCGGTAGCCAGCCAGCGCACAGGTGACTGTGACGTCATACGCGCCTAGAGGGCCGTCGCCATGGCGACCAGCGTCCGTTGCCTAGACACGGCCCTTGCCGGTTGGAGGCTGCTCCTAGCGGGGGCTTGGAGTCGAGAGAAAGAGGAGCGGGCAGAACCTGCTCAGAAATGGAGAGGACGAGACACTGGTACCTAATTGGTTCCCGCCGACTTTTCCAACACCTCGGAAAGGGCAGCGCCGGATGAGGGGAGTGCGCCTGCGCAGCTGAGGCCGGAAACTACCATTCCCAGAATCCTTTCGGTTGGAGCCAGCTCTATTTGATTTTTCATGGTACAGGGAAAAGACACGGGGCGAACTTGGAAGCGGTAAAATATAGTGGTTGCACAGGTGGGCTCCTCCTCGTAGAAAACCACCCCCATTCAAATTGTACTCTACTGCGCATGTATTAAAACTGGTATCTTGGCAACGAGTGGGCTGGAACAAAGAAGTCGAGGTTTTGGCCAATCAGAAGTTGCGGTTTATATACACACCCTCCTATTTTTAAAGAGATTGGGACGACGGTATCCATGGTAACAGATATGCGCAGGTAACGGATTCTGGGAAATGTTAATAGGGAGTTAATAGGGAGGCCAGCGGACTTTATCAACACTTAAAAATTTCTTTGCTAATCTCTCACTAATGTAAAATCTACAAAAAACACCCAGCACCAGAAGTTTTCTTGTCATCTCACAGAGGTAGCAAGACGTGTTTTGGTTGATTTTGGTACTTGAAATAAATTAGTTGTCAATAATACTTACGGAGAAATTTGACATACAAATCCGAATTCCTGGGTTCTCTTGAAAAATCTGAAGATCTGAAAACACTGCGGCTGTTATTTCGCCACGACAACAATAGCGTGAAGCTGAGTGTTTTCCATCCCTACGAATGGGGCCTTGTAGTTTACCTATCTGGATCCATAATATATTTAAGGTTTTAATCTCGGATCCTAGAAAAAACCACCAAGCCCCTTTCCCTGGTATTTAAAGCCCTTCCGTGTATGGATCAAATCGTCTTTGTAGGCTTTCCCCCGCAACACTACCACTCTCATTTATTCAACAAATATTGACTGAGTGCCTGCTCTGAGCCATGCATTGTGCTAGCCACTGAATCTCAGCTAAACTCAGCTTTTCTCGTCAACCCCCGCCCATCGCTTCATACATCCCTCATTACCCGAATCCTAGACGGTGATAGTTCTGCTGGCGGGTTCAGAAATAGGATCCCATGTTTTCCAAATCTATTTGGATCCTTCGTGTTATCCAGCAGTGAGAGTTCCGACAGCAAAATATTTGCATGAAAATGTATCCGAATCTAGTATTTAAGTACGCAGTGAAAAATTAGAATTCAGATAGGGAGGAAAACCTGTATCCTCCACACTGACCACTGCTCTTGCTGTGCCTAACCACCCTTGAGGGCCCCGCTACATCGTCTCCTGTTGGATGCATTTCCTCCCCGGAGGAGGCATGGCTGTCCCTTCAAACCCTCACGATAGGTTGTCCATTCCTTTTGAAGGTCCAAGTCACTTCTATCTTGAATTAGGATAATTGGTGGCTACAGATGAGTGAGGCCTGGTCCCAGCTCTTGAGGAGCACCCAGTTGGGTAGAGAAACAGAGCTGGACACCAACTGGGGGGAGGAGGGCCCAGGAAACTGGTAGACACATTGAGAAATTTGTCACAGATTTTATTAAACTTCTTTTCTTTTCCCCTTACAGACCTCCAAAGCATCGCCCTATTGCAGCAGAAGTTTTCGGTTTTGCCTGTACGTACAAGCCCTAGTAAGAGAGAAAAAGCCTGGATGTTAGGAAAGATTTTCAGGCTCCTCCTGCTCAGCTGACCCCAACTTCCCTCCAATCATTGGCTTGATTTGGTACATCCAGTGACGTCATGAGTCTCTGGGCAGATTTCCAAAGTTCTCAGCCAATCGAAGTTGGTACCTGAGGAGGGTGAAAAGTTGGGACCAAGAGTGAGAGTAAAATGTGGGACCAGGAAGAGTCAAAAAAAGACAGGAAGTGACACAGACGGAGAGAGAGAAAGACTAAAAGAGCAAGGACAGACAGAAATGGAGAGATCAAAGGAAGAGAGAGGGGATAGTGGAAGCACAGTATAGTGAGTTAAAAAACTGTGTCTTCCCCCAAAAGATACATCCAAGTCCTAACTTCCGGTACCTGTGACCGTGACTTTAATTGGAAATAGGGTCTTTGTAGATGTAATTAAGTTAAGGTGAAATGAGATCATCCGTGTTTAGGCTGGGCCCTACATCCAAGGACAGGTGTCCTAGCAAGAGAAAGGAGAGGGAGATTTGAGACGTAGACACAGAGGAAGAAGCCACGCGAAGACGGAGGCAGAGACTGGAGGGAAGCCACGCCTAGGGCTGGCGGCAGCCAGCAGCAGCTGCGAGCCATGGAGTGGATTCACCCTCACAGGCTCCAGAGGGAACCAACCCTGCCAACCCCTGGATTTCGGACTTCTGATCTCCAAAACACAGAGAATACATTTCTGTTTCTTGAAGCCAACCAGTTGGTGGTGACGTGTACAGCAGCAATACAAAACTGATAGCACAGGGAGAGAGACGAGGAGAGTCAGAGATGGAAGGGAGGCTGACACTCCCGGAGCGCTCCTATGTGCTGAGTGACTCAGTGCCCACCGCCACCCCTGAGGAGGAGGCGCTGGGATCACCCTCATTTTGAATATGAAGAAACAGAGGTGTCAGGGAAAGGAGGCTAGTGGGCCACTTGGAGGAGGCAGAGAAAGAGACTGACAGAAACCGAGGTAGAGAGAGGAGAAGGGCTGGAGAAGCGGTTGAAGGGTGCACTGGCAGATGGAGGCAGGGTCAAGCCCTCAGAGGTGGAGAGAGGAGGGTGAGGGCCACCTCTCCCTGGGGACGGGGCCTGGCACCCATGGAAATGTTTTCACTGTAATATCTTTGAAAGCCAGAAGATAACACTTGAATATAACAATAATAATGATGATGAATATATAATAATGAAGCCAACTTGGATGATCTTTGTCTTTATACCAATGCATTTGCAAAATATAACTTTTAGTATTTTTATACGGAGGAAGAGGTCCGCAATGACGAAAGTGCTGAAGACCCAGGAAAGTCATAATGTGGCCCAGGAGTGGAGGAAAGAAGAGATAAGAGAGGAAGAGAGACAGATACCAATGAAAAAGAGGGAGGGGAGAGGGAGAGGGAGAGGGAGGAGAAGGAGAGAGACAGAGAAAAAGACAGAGAGACACCAAATGATTGGGGAGGAGACTCCCAAAGTACACAGTGGCCCCATCCAGGGAGGTGCCATTTTTGAGGCATCCAGAGGGACATTTGGGGGACTAGCAGAGGGCAAGGATGACTCACGAGACCACGATGACCACAAAGACAAAGACAGCCAGAAACACGGAAATAAGGATGCCCATCAGAGCCAGGTTCCATGGGTACTCCGTGCGGTACTTCAGGGCCACGCGGGGCTGCCTGTCAACTGGGATGGGTGGGGGAGACAGCCCAGACCTCCAAGTCACCACCCGTCCTTAGCCTTGTACCCACCCCTTACCTGTCCCCTCAGCAACCTGGGGCAGGGCCAGGCTTCTCCCTCCCTTCTTTCTACTTGGTCCCTGCCCTCTCCTGGAGTCCGACTCCCCCTTGGTCCACTCCCCGAATGCCGTGTCTCAGGCACCACTGAGGGCACTCGGGATACAGCTGGGAACCAAACTGGCAAACTGCCCTCACGGAGCTGACAGTCTACACAGCATATCAGTTACAGCGAGGAGCCAGTGCTAAATGCACCTCATTTGATGGGGTGGGGGGCAAGGAAGACTTGGGAATTTTGACTCAAATCCAAGAAGAGGGACAGAGACACCATGCACATGAGAGGGGGCTGCAAACTGCTGACAATCTCACAAGATTGAAGGCTGCCTGCATCTTAGCTGGTGACACTGAAGGTGGCCTTGGGAGTCCCACTCTGCATCTTCCACTCCCCTCCTACCCCCCAACTCTTTCCTTCCCTCAGCAAAGCCTCTTGATTCGACCTTCAAACTGTATCCAGAATCGAATCCACCTCCATAGTTACCAACTGGGTCCAGCCCCCACCATTGCTTCTCTAGGGGGGCTCCCTGTGGCTCCGCCCCCTGTACTCCCCGACTTGGCCTCCAGAAGGCGCTGTTCACACCTACCTCAGCTCCTTCCTCTGCTCAGTGGCTCCCATCTCACTCAGGGTAAAAGCCCAAGTCCTCCCCTTTGCTCCAGCAGGAGCTGCACGATCTGGCCTCCGTGTGACCTGGCCCTCGTTCCAGCTGCCCTCCTAATGTCCTTCACTCACTCAGCCCTGGCCACACCACTCCTCTTCCTTGTTGCTTAATCATGTTGGATCTCTGCATGTACCGTTCCCTCGTACCATTCACACTGTTCCCATTACTCCCTCGCTTCCTTCACTTTTCAAAGGTCACCTCTTCATAGAGGCCCCTGCACCTGTACTCTCTAAAGTAGCACCACCCAGATACACTCTATCAGATTGTTTTGTTTTCATTAGAGCATTAATGCCTTCTGGAATCAGTCCATTTATATGTTCATGCAATTACCTCCTAACCCAGTGGTTCTTGACCAGGGACAATTTTTATCCCCAAGGGGACATTTGGAAGTGTCCGGGGCCATTTTTGATTATTGTGACTTGGAGGGGTCTGCTCCTGGCATCTGGCGGATCGAGGCTAGGGATGCTGTTAAGCATCTTACGAATTAGGGGAGAGCCCTCATAGCAGGTACCCAGCTCCAAATGTCCACAGTGCTGAGGTCGAGAAACCCTAGTCTAAGACCTTGCCCCACTAAAATGTGGGGCAGGAACTACATCTATCTCCCAGTCTGCTGACCCCTAGTTTGGGGCATTAAATACCATCCAAAGGAAGCAAACAAACAAATCTGAAAGTGGAACATTCTATAGAACGCAAACCCTTTTTTTCAACTAGCCAATGCCATGGAGGAAAAAAAAAAACTGATAAGAGAAACTCTCTAGATTAAAAAAAAGAAGTGAAAAACCTACCAATTGAATGATACGAAAAGTCCTTTCATTGAATCATGATTTGAACAAATCAGCTGCGACAAATATTCTGGGGACAATTAAGAGAATGGATAGAAGGACTTGGAATTATCCGCTATTGAGGAATCATTGTTAAGTTTGTTGCGTGTGGGAATGGCATTGTGCTTATGTAGGAAAATGTCCTTATTTTTAGAGGTACATGCTATGTATAGGTGAAATTGCATAATGTCTGTGGTTTACTTTAAAATACTATGACAAAGAATAAAATAGGTAAAGTAAATTTGGAACAATATTCATTGGTAACATAATTTAATAGTGCTATATTAAAGAGTGTGTTCAGAGAGATCTCTCTGAGGAGGTGACCTTTGAGACCCAAATGAAATGTGGGAGTGAGGGGAACAGCATGACAGAGAGAGGGAACAGCATGTGAAATGGTCCAGTATGACTATTCAATCTAGATGGATATATGTGGATCTGTTGTACTATTCTTTCTGCTATAAGGATATGTATATTTTTAGATCTCTGAATGAATGAATGAGTGAATGAGTGAATTCAGTACATCCTTCCATACTCCCCAGGTATGGCATTGGGTAAGAATAAAATGTTTCTCTCGCACCTGCCATTCTTGTGTTAGGGGCATTTTAAAGTTCCAGAGGAGTCTTCCCATTTAACAGAAGGGGGGAAAGTGAATTTCAAAATGTGGAAGCAACTTCTGGGCCACTCTGTGAGCAAAAAGTAAAGGCAGAATTCAAGGATGCACGTAGGAAGCCTCGTAGTCCATATCTAGTGGGTCATAAACGTCTTGATCTCTCACTCGCAGGAACTTACCAAAGCAGTACTTTTTTGGGATACATTTGGGTCTAGTCTTCTGGCAATGTGAACAGTCCAAGATCTCTTCTTTCAGTTGGCCTAGACAAGGGGAAAGGGAGAAGCAGGAGGAGGGCAGAAATCAGAGGACTGGCAAGGGGTGGTAAGGAAGAAGGGGAAAGGAGAGATGGGGTCCCTCGGCCCTCTTGATTTTTGGAGGTTCCACTGCACTGCTGAGCAAGTGGAGCAAAATGCACTGACAATTCACATGAAATATAATTTTCATATAATCATTGAAGAGTTGAGTTGCAGTCGTCCAGTTTTGTTTTTTTTTTTAGGCTAGTCAAGTGAAGCAGTGGGAGTGGAGAAGGAACAAAGGAATCTGTAACTGGTTGTGATCAATTAGTTGTAAACACCACTGCACTCAGACCAGCCCCTGCAATCTAGTAGACCCAACATTCTGTTTGTAAACATTTAATTAAGCACTTGGCTAATTTTGAGTTGACACTTTTCTTTTTCTAATTTGGAGCCCCCTGTAGCAGAGACTGGTGAGATGCCTCCTCCTCTTCCTGCACACACAGGAAGACCACATCTCCCAGGCTCCCTTGCA